AGAGCTTGGGGTCTTTCTCACAGCTTCTTTCTCACCAGAGAGACAAATTCCCAGCTGATGGAGACCACAATCTGGACTCGCTCCCTACCTTGGCCATGAGCGCTGGGACACTGGGATCTTTGCAGGTGAGAGCTGGCTGGCAGGGAGTGTGGAAAGCCTGATGGCTGAGGGAGAGATGTGCTAACTATTCTGATTTCCGCTCTTGGTTCCCAGCTTCCAGGTGTGCTGACAAGGCTTCGGGTAGATTTGATGTCCTATCTCCGGCATGTACAATGGCTGCGCCGGGCAGGTGGTCCTTCCCTAAAGACTTTGGAGCCAGAGCTGGGTGCCCTGCAAGCCAGGCTGGATCGGCTACTGCGTCGTCTACAGCTCTTGGTATGCTCTGAATCCAAGACTGTTTCCCTCCATTCTGATCCCTTTGACTCCAAGGAATGGTGGCCTGAGATTCTGATTCTCCCCTTACCCCCAGACAGCCCTGGATGTCCTGGAACTTGTTCTGTAGATTAGGCTGGCCTCAAACTCAGATCCACCTGCCTCTGCCTCTGCCCTCTACCCTCTGCCCTCTGGCCTCTGGCATTTGCTTCTGCCTCTGCCTAACTGTGAGACCTTGAGGTCTCAAGACCTCAGAATCCTTCAGACCAACTCTTAACTGACTCCCAAGGCTGCAAGCCACCATAGTGTATGGTCTTGTGTCCCCCAAATCCCAGTCCCTGATACTATGAGACCCCAATCCTGACCACTTGTCTGAAAGTCTAGACCCTGAATCCCAAGATCCTGAGAACCAAGACCCCTAGCCTGAGTCCTCAGGATCTAATTTTCTTATTAGAATTAAAGATGCCAAAAACTATAAACCTCTAATACCTGAAGCCCTAGATCCCAGTCCCTGGCTCCTCACATCTCAAGGACCCAGCCCCTAAGATTCAGTATCCTGACTCAAGTTGCAGAACTACAATGCCAGAACTCAGGAACAGGGTTGGCAGTTGCTGTAGTCTCAGCAACTCAAGAGACCCAGCGGTAGGACACAGTTTAAGTCCTACTTAGTGAACCCAGGCTAGCTATGGCTACTTAGCAAAACCCTGTCTTGTAAAGCTAGGTATGGTAGCACCTGATTGTGCTCCCAGTATCTGGGAGGTGGTAACAGAAAAGTGAAGAGTTCAAGGCCAACCCAGTGGTGAATTTGAGGCCAATCTGGGTTATATGAGATCTTGTCTCAAAATAACCCCCCAGCCCTCCAGTCCTATGTCTCATTTCCAATATTGTGAGGTTAAAAAATTATCAAGATCCCAAATTTCAAAACCTCAGACCCAACCCAATACTCCAAAAGATTTCAGAATTTGGCCCCTGACTGTAAACACCCTAGGTCTCAAATTCTTGCTTCTAGCCCCACACCCTAGGTCCCTAGACACCAAGCTCTAAGAGACTAGTCCTGACCACTCTGGGCACACTGTTTTGCATTTTTTTAGGATAGTTTTCTTTTATTTTTAATAATTTATTTATTTATTATATATACAGTGTTATGCCTGCATGTACACCTGCAGGCCAGAAGAGAGCACCAGATCTCATTATAGATGGTTGTGAGCCACCATGTGGTTGCTGGGAATTGAACTCAGGACCTCTGGAAGAAGCAACCAGTGTTCTTAACCTCTGAGCCATCTCTCCAGCCCTCTGGGCTGCTTTCTGAGACAAGGTTTCTCACTGAACTTGAAGATCACCAATTCAGTTAAGACTGGATTCCAGCCGGGAGAATCTTCCTTCCTGTCCTTACTTCCCCCACATATTACTGTTCCCAGCTTTTTTACATGAGCCCTGGAGATCTGAACTCAGGTGCTCTTGATTCTGTGATTATTTTACTAATTATGCCTTCACCACAGCCACAAGGGGCCTTTGTGTTGTTGTTGTTTAATGAGACAGGGTTTCCAGTAGCCCAAACTGCCTTTCCTATGTAGTCTTGAAGGCCTGATCCTTTGGCCTCTCAAGTGCTGGGATTACAGACAAGAACCATGGCAACCAACCCAGCTTCAGTTTTCTGAACCCAAGACCTTTGCCTTTTGCTAACCTTGTTTCTGTCTTCAACAGATGTCTCGTTTGGCCTTGCCCCAGGCAACTCCAGAGCAACCCTTGGTCCCCCTGGGCCCTCCTGCCTCAGCCTGGGGAAGCATCCGGGCTGCTCACGCCATCTTAGGAGGGTTGCACCTGACCTTGGACTGGGCTGTGCGGGGCCTGCTGTTGTTAAAGACTCGGCTGTGACTCAAAGCCACCATCGAGGATATCGTCCTTTAAAGCCAGATCTTATTTATTTATTTATTTTGGTACTTGGAGGAGGGGACATGATGATCAGGGGCATGCCACACCCCAAACAACCCCCCCCCCACCCAGCTAGATGCAGTCCCTCCAGGAGACCTGGGTGAGGGGGGTCACCTGTGGCTTATTTATACTTATTTATTTAAAGAATTGGGGTGGGTGGGGCAGGTGGATCTGAGACCCTGAGAAACCAGGAACTGAGATCCTGGATTCTGGGGTCTCTATGAAGTCTACCCACAGTATCTTCCTACATTATTTATTAAACAATTAATTTTTTTATGTTAAGAGGAGGAGGTGGGGGGAAAAGGAAGCCTGGGGTTTTATACCAAAATGTGAGAAGTTTTTTGTTTTTTATTGGTGTGTGTGTGTGTGTGTGTGTGTCAGAGAAGGGGGGTTACTTAAATACATATTTCCTTAGAGGTGATTAGCAGGAGTATGCCAGAGGGATCTGAGTCTAACCTGGTACCTTAGCACTTCAAAAGTCCTCAACAGAAGGTTCCAGAACATCACCTTATATCCAATAGCACATGCATGGTACAGAGCTGCAAAGTACAAGGTTGTTTGTTTTAGATCATTCGTGCTGGCAAATGGGAAACAGCCTAATTGTCCTCTGGCAGGGATGGGGGTAGAGGTGGATGAAGAAAAAGCCACGTGATGGAATACTAACTTGCCAATTAGTAAAAAGGGAAGCTCCTGGCAAAAGACTGCTCTAGATGTTGAGCGGCCCTGGGACTCGGGAGCAGCAGATGGTAGAACCACTCTTACTATACAAAGTATGGTTTGTTTTTATTTTTTCAAAATGGAAACATCAAAATGTTGACAGTGGCTGTCTCAGGGTTGAAAACAAGAGCTGGCACGTGCGGGTGACTTTTATTGTTGTGCTTGTATTTTCCAGAGTTTTTACCCTGACTGTATTTTGCATGATACATTTAAAAACAATAATAAACACTATTTTTAGAATGACAGAATACCATCTTTTGTCTCACCCCACTGTACAGACTTTACACACACAACCTAGGCCTCAGAAGAAAACAAGAAAAAAGGTCACTTAAGCTCATGTTCTGGGCCATAGTGAACCTGGCTTTCTCTCTTTTCTTTCTCCTTCCTTTCTTCCTTTCTTCCTTTCTTCCTTCCTTTCTTTCTTTCTTTCTTTCTTTCTTTCTTTCTTTCCTTTTTTCTTTCTCTTTCTTCTTGTTTTAGCTTTAAAAAAAATTGTCCCAAAGCCAGGAGTAGTGGTGCATTGCTTTAATCAAGCAATTGGGAGACAGAAGAAGGCAGATCTATGTGAGTTCAAGGCCAGCCTGGTCTACAAAGTGAGTCCAGAACAGCTAGAGCTACACAGAGAAACCTTGTCTCAGAAATAAAGAAAAAGAAAAAAAAAAAAAAAAAGAAAGAAAGAAAAAAATTGTCCCAGGTCCAAAAGAGATGCCCTGTTTTACCAAAGAGGGAACCTGAGGCTCGAATGGAAAGAGTTATTTTTTTGTAGGGTTCTTTGTTTTGTTTTTGAGTCTTTACTATAGAGCTCTGGGCCTCATAGAAATTTGCTTGCTCTGCCTCCTGAGTGCTGGGATTAAATATGTGTGCACAGCCAGGCGTCATGGCACATACCTTTAATCCTAACACTTGAGAGGCAAAGGCAGGAGGATCTTTGTGAGTTCAAGGCCAGCCTGGTCTACAAAGCAAGTTCAGGATAGCCAAAGCTACACAGAGAAACCCTGTCTCAAAAAAAAAAAAAAAAAAAAAAAAAAAAAAAGTGTTCCACCATGCCAAGCCTATTGCTATTATGGTCCCACAGGTAGTTGGCCTTATATAATTATGGTACTGACATTGAACCCAGGGCCTTGTCCATGCCAGGCAAGCACTTTACCTATTAACGATATCCCCAAGCCCTTGGTTTGTTCTATCTGTCTGTCTGTCTGTCTATCTATCTATCTATCTATCTATCTACCTACCTATCTACCTATCTATCTAATTTTGAGATGGGTTATTGTTATATAGTCTAGGCTGATTTCAAACTTAAACTTTTTCTGCTTCTATATCCTCAGTGCTGGGATTACAGCTGTGGTCGCCATGCCCAGCTATGTTGGTCTTTTCTTTACAGTTCATTGTTGAGTTGACTCAAGAGTTGTGCACACCACACACACACATACACACATACACTGGAGCCTTTGGAAAACTGAGGCTCAGCATGGGCCTGGTTCTTGATGAGAGTCGGGAGGAGGGGCAATGGCAGAGCTAGGCCTATAATCCAAGTCTTTGGATTAATGGTCCCTGTATAGGCACTAACACAGACTCCAGGTGTGGTGGGGGTCTTGTGTCATCACAGTCTTGGTCCGGGAGAGGAAGTGTTCTGGTGGAGCTCTGAGTCACTTACCCCAGCGCTCAGGGTCCACACCACATTCTAGAAGGATGAGGCCCCTGGACAGTTCCCAGGAAGCGGCTCCTTGGTGTCTAGTGAGGTCACAAAGCCCCTAGCAAAAGTTCTTCCCACAGCCTAGAGCTGACTACCGCTCTGCAGGGCCATGGCCATACCAGAGTCTCTCAGCTCTGGGGACACTCCACTTTCTGTCACTGCTGAGCTCCTGGCATCCTTGAAGCCCAAGGGTCCAAGGCTGGTGGGCTGGGGTGGGGGTCAGGGCTCCACCTGGGCCCTGGATCCCTGAATCTATACACCCCTACCCGCCTTTCTGACAGCCACCATGAAACGGCTGTTGAACATTGGACGTGCTCAGCCTCCCGAGGACCCTCAGAAGTGGGTCCCCATTCTTGGAGAGCTACAGAAGACCCTCCAGAAGGGCGAATACCTGCCCCTTCGCCCGCTGCCCATGTTCGAGAGTAACTTTGTTCAGGTCCTGGCTCCCTGTGCCCCGGGGAAATGGGGGAGGAGGGCTGAGACACTCACAGAAAGAGGGAGGGACCCCCTGGGCAGAGTGGGTTGAGTAAGGATTTGGAATTTCAGCTTCAGTAGGTAGGAAGTGGGTTTGGAAAGAAAGGAGGCACTCAGGTGAGGGATGCTGGAGACACGCTGGAGAAAGAACTGGTCCCAGCCCTGCTCACTGGCTGCCCCAGGTGACCAATAATGGGGCTCCTGCGTTCGTGCACCACAGAACCAACAAGCTGACTATGGCTGTCGCGGCCTCCTTGCCTGGCCTAGTGATGCCTGACATTCTGTTACTTGCTCAGCCCCCCGAGGACAGGGACTGCAAAAATCTCAACCTCACCAGGTATGTTCCTCCAGCTCCACCGCAGCTCACTCCACTCTGTCCTTATCTATGGCACTAGCTACCGGGTCTCCCACTCCCCCCCCCTACAGGATGATCCCGCTAGACCTTGCCCACCTCTATGTCCACGATCTGCCCAGCTGGCGCCTGAAGCTGAGGCTGATCACTGGCCGCTACTATTACCTGGAACTGGATGCCCCTGACCATGAGCTGGCCTTTCTGTTTGACCGCTGGATTCGCCTCATCAGCCTGCTTCACCAGCCTACCTTATCCTGGGCACCCAGGACCATGGACACGCCCCCCCTGGACACACCCCTAGACGGAGCACCAGCCTCCACCTGGTGCCTTCAGGTGAGGATTCAGTGAGCTGGGCCTCTAAACCACTGTCCAGATTCTACAAAGGGAAGAGAACCCACAGCCCAGTGCCTTTGGGAGGAGGAGCTGGGTCCTAGAATGCTGGGTCTGAAGGGAGGTTCTGGCCTCACAGGACCAAGAAAGAAAAGCTGGGGATGAAGTTGCAGGCTGGGTAGCTAACAGAGATAGAAATCATGTGGCAGAGGAGACATCTCAGCTAGAAAAGAGATTATTGCGTAGGAAGTATGAGGCTCCGAGTTCAATTCTTCAGAAACCACATAAAAATGCTGCTTGCTGCTGGGTGTGGTGGCACACGACTGTAATCCCAGTACTCAGGAGGCAGAGGCAGGTGGATCTCTGAGCTCAAGGCCAGCCCAGTCTACAGAGTAAGTTCTAGGACAGCTGGCTACTCAGAGGAACACTGTCTAAAAACAAAACAAAACAAAACAAAATTCTGGGGATAGTGTATGATGACACAGGCTTTGTAACCACAGTGCTGGAGAGGCAGGCAGATGGATTCCTGGCCTGGCCTGACCTACTTGGTAGATTTCAGGCCAGTGAGAAAACCCTGTCTCAAAGGAAAGAAACACTCACAAAAAGATAGACAGTTTCTAAGGAATGGCACCTGCGGTTGTCCTCTGGCCCCACATGCGTATCCTTGCACACACATACAGATAGACACACAGACACCAGAAAAAGTGGCCAGGTGCCCAGGCACGTACTGTAATCTGCAACACTTGGAAGGTAAAGGCAGGAGGCTTGTTACAAATTTAAGGTTAGTCTGGCTTCTACCCTCCGTTCACTACCCTCGTCCCACATGAGTGTGAGCATGCACACTTGAGTGTGGGCATGCACACTTGAGTGTGGGCTCTCTCCTACCATGCAGATTCTGGGGTTCACACTCAGGTCACCAGGCTCAGCAAGTGCCTTTACTTGCTGAGCCATCTTGCCAGCCTTTGGCCCCATTTCCCATTCTTGGGAATGATTTTTATTTTGTATTTTATTTCTGGTTTGACATAGTGTTTCTCTGTGTAGCCTGGCTGTTCTGGAACTTGCTCTGTTGATCAGGCTGGCCTTGAACTGAGGGAGCCACCTGCCTTCGCCTCCCAAGTGCTAGGATTAAACCTGGCGGGTTTATATTTTTAATAAATTGTAATTTCTAACTCTTGATGGTGGGAAGGGGTTGTTGGCTCATGCTTGTAATTGTTTCACATGCTGGCTGTGGGGCACACTAATCCCAGGGCTAAGGAGAGACACTCCGCGGGCTTCACAGGCTGCCGTCGTCTCACCGGGGAGCTTCAGTCAGTGAGAGTGGCCCAGAGGAGCGGGTGGCCTGCCCTGGCATGACAGCACGGTCATGACAGCATGACCGCGCATGCACACACACGCACCTGCACACAAACACACACATACACTTGCGCACACACACATACACACATGCACCTGCACACACACATACACACA